AAGTTAATAACTATGACAAACTAAGTCATTCATAAATGATGTTGACAATGTTACATCTATTACGATATATACACTTCAAAATACATATTAGTTGAGGTAATAATGATACTACTACTACTAATAATAATAATGACGTTGTGTCAGTCAGTTAGTCAGCAACAACTTAGAACTTTGTACGTACGTACATCAGTTCGAGTTGCCATACCACATTAGCAAAGAGATACAATTGTCGATTCAAATCCCGTTGTGGTAGAGGTAGTAAGAGTATGAGCAATAATCAAAAATATAAGGGTTAGAAGATGTTATTCATGGAGTATAATCCAGTGAAATAAATTCGGAAGGAGAAGAAAAGGGACATGAAGAATTCAGAAGATCAGAATTTGTGAGAACACAAAGAGTAGAAGCGCCTGCGCCATTGACACAACGTCAGTTTTGTCAATATATTATGTAATGATAGTAGTGTTTCCAACGTAATTACGATGAAAAGAAACATTCATGCGAATTGAGAAAGAAGAATGTGTAGATTATGTAATCCAGGAATTGAGAATGGAATAAGTGGTTTATAATTACAAGTTTAGGTAACTGGCGTTCCAATCTTTAATCAATGTCAACGTAGAGGCTGGATATACATCTTCTGGACAAATAAATCAGGCTTTCTGGAGTTGATTCAGTTGGCGTCAGCTAACTAGACAAGTAGTAATGTAGCTCCTTTAGGTAGATTGTTTGGAACTTGGTATATAAAACAAAGAAAGCTTCATCTATTTTAATATGGTGTTTACTATCGACTATGTGAGAATGAATGGTGCTGTTATTCGACTTCATAACCCCTTTTCCCAATCATGTGGGTAAATGTTCACGAACATGCAATGATCAAACCATTTGAGTACGTCCTATGTAACTAGCTCCACAGAAGCAGATGAATTAATATACTCATATAAAGTAGCCACCATCGGTCATCTATCCTTGAATTGTTGTGTAAGTGCTGGTTTGGTTGAGAAAAAATGGTTGCTTGAAATGTTAATTAAACATATTAACATAAAGTTTAAGACCAATTTATATTACAAAATACTATTAGATGCAATAAAAGCCCAGTATTCGGATTTGTACGATTGTTGTACTCAATAACTACATCCACTTCACGGAATTTATAAATTATCACTAACCATAACAAGTATCATTTATAACACGATTATTTTTGTATTTTACTGTGATAAAAATGTTTTCTTCTCATCTTCAAATCTCCCCGGTTTGTTCAATGAAATCATTAGTTTTAAAATAGTAGTTATTGGTTACATATTTTTAAAAAGTAATATATAGGGTAAATATTCCTCGATCAATCAACTTTCCGTCAAACTAACTTACAAAGTATTGGCTCTATTGCTTCGGACGTTGTTATGAATACCGATCACGTATTCTTGAGCACGTTGTATCTGATAATATTCTAATCGTTTAAAGCATTGAAGAGCGCCATCATAAATTATAAAAAGGTGATGTACTACCATTATGCCATTCTTGACTCTGATTTTCATAAGAGTCAGAGGCCTTACATAAAAATCATTCGCAATGTCATCAAAAGCGTAATTTATTAATTGAGTGAGATTAACTTTAAACTGTAGTTTGAAAGGCTGTGATCTATAATTTTAGAACTATTCTTCCGTCTGATATTCACTCGAAATGTGGATGTGTAAAAAGAAATATCCAGGCATAATAGTCTTTGGTAGTTTCCAAAGCTATCCTGTAGTTGTTGCCAGGCGGGTCCCATCAGACAACAAACTCTCCAACGCCGCTAGTGATAACCATTTAGCTGTTCAACTTATACAGCCAAGCATCAAAAAACTGTATTCCTTTGTTCGGCGTATGTCAGAGTAATAATGTAGTATTGTTTATAGTTTCACGCGTAACATGGTCTACAGAAGGATGTCTTAAACTCCGTTGGCATTGTCCGCAGTACATGAGTTTCAGATCGAAGCCGTCAATTGCATGGATAAGTAAATGTCAGTAATTCAGAAGACAAATGGTCCAAACTATCGAACGAACATTGGTTTGGATTTCACGTTAAGTCATGAGGAATATGATGTTTCAATACACTCTGAAGAATCCAATAACAGAGACAACAAAGACAAAGATGACCATGACAACACACCGTGTGAAATACCATCTTGCTCAGTCGGAATGATTAGGTAGTTGGAACAAATAGACCCAGCGAAGGTTGTTTTTAGGGCCACGCAAAATTTGATTTCATTTGCTACTTTTAATTACGATACAAAGTGTATCAATAAATTGCCGTCGTTCTTATTGCATATACATTTTCAGTATTTTCAATGACAGTTAAGCCGTTATTGCATATGATGTTAAGTATCCATGACCTATTTTTACTGTTTCATCTGTTCCTTTTCTTGTATTACCGATATCCGAATCGACATCGTTCTTATGTATTCAGAAACAACAGGCATGAAAAATTCTGTGACTGCGCGAAACCGATTACACTGTAACAATTACATTTTTAAGAATAACAAATAGTAACACTCGTATGACGTAGTTACATGCTTGACGATGTTATTGCAATTTGTATGTTAGTATTATTTGGACATGATACTCGACAGAGTAATCATATCCGTTTAGCGTGATGTGAAATCTGACAACATAATCATTTGAAAGTACTCATTTTTTACGTCTTACACACGTGCAACATTGAGGTTTTAAACAGGTGAATGTTCACTTCACAATTTACAAGAATAAAATCAATTCCTATATAATTGTTTATTATATGAGTAGTTAAGTATTGATCAATTACATGAAAGTCTTCTATTTGATACTCAAACTAATAAACTAATGAAACATTTGATACTCAGATAATTACGAAATAAATAGATTGCATAATTTGCGCTAAACGAGAACCTTTTTATTTATCTATATTGTGAGACTGAACCGAATATTATTCTGGGTTCTTTTTCTATTACCTCATAATTATTATGTTGGTTTAACACAGCATCGAAGTCACGGAAACAATACAGTATGAAGACAGTTACATTAAAAATAAACTGACTAATTTGAGAATAACGCTTACATTATTTCATACTTTCACCAACAACAACAAAAAACACTTTTACAGGCATCTATGCTATTATTGATTGATACTAAAAATTAAAAGAGTAGGTGTTGAAACTTCGCGAAAAGATTGCCATATTAGTTTTACTGTGTAATTGTTAAATGTTGGGAAAAAAATTATTTTAGTAGTATAGAAGGGTTTTTGAAGATTTACATAGTTCACGTCATTAACTAATCTTAGTTATAGCTACAGTGTAATCCAGAATCTTACAGGTATTTGCTTCATTATAGTATTAGACTCATCAACAAGTGGACCCAAGACGACAATGGATGCTGAATCCAAAATCTTTGATTTCTTGACAAGTTCTTAACTTCTATATCATTGAGTCATCTTTCAATGATGTCGATGTCTAACTTCAATCACTTTGCTCTATCCCTTAAACATCCTCAGTGATAGGTTGATTAAAATCAGATCGTGATATAAACCATGAAAAATCCAATGATTTTCATCAACCTATATGTTATGGAAATAGCACTAAGGTGATCAGTGATGACCGAGTTCATCACCATCTGTCTCGTTCAATTTAACAGTGTTTAGTTGGTCAATCTATCAAGATGTCAGTCCTACTTATGTTGACGTCAACACAATACCTAACCTCATTTATCATATTTAGTTAGAATAGTTAGATTTCCTCGTTGTCACATAATAGATTGTTTCATCACATGGAGAATGGATAAAGTGATTGCACCTTCAACTAATTGCAGTTATTTTGGACAATCCTAAAAGATATTTTGTTAATGCTTATTCTGATTATGTTTATGATAAAAACGTCAGAGAGTAATTTGACGACAATTCTGTTTTACTCCTGAAAACAAAATAGGCACTAACTGAAGTGAATTATCTTTAATATTGATTAAGGATACAGTATTTAAAAGGTTATTCTTCATCACAACAGTAACTTATGAAAGGTTTTGATGTAGTTCTAACAGATAAGTTGTTTACATTGTTATCTTTCTAAGTAGCCAAATATGATTCCTGAATTCGACCTGTACAAAGATGAATATTTTAATAATAAAGTTCCATGTGAATTATATTGCTCAGAAAAAAAGACATTAAGAGTCTCAGGTAACTTCAAATTCCATTGTAAATGACTACATTATAATAGATGACACATTCTTAAATATGGTTAGCTAATGATCCGACTAAAATAGCGAATGTCAAAATTCTCATTTTTTGAGAACTTGGTGAGCATATACATCAGTTTGTCTGGTGGGTTATCAATGTTGATGAAACGGTTTGAAGACGTTTATTCAAGAAATAGTACACAAATGATGAATCGTTTCAGACGAACTTACTTTGTCTATGAGATTAAGAATTGAATAATTAGTATCAGATAGGTTTTGTGGATATTATAGTAAGTTCAGTGGTTAAGATCATGAGTCAATTGAAGTTAAACCACCATGGAAAACCTCGAAGCACTGGACGGCCGTTTCGTGCTATTGTGGTACTCCTCAAAAGTTGGCATCCACGACCTCGCCCCCCTCCGCAAGATTATAACAAAGGACCTATCAGCCTCGCGAGCGAGCGCTTATCGTCTAGACCACTGAGTCAGCATCCAACGGTGTTAATATCTAACTTCAACCAATCCATGAAATTGACCGACACATCCATCATTGTCTTCAGTGAGTCCCACAATAGGACGAAACAGCCATCCAGTGCTATCAGATTTTCCATGGTGGTCTAGCTTCAATTGACTCATGATCTTAACCATTGAAATTAAATAATTCTTCTTCAGAAAATAAAAGACATATTTCAATATAGAATGGATTCCCATCTACTTCTGATAAAGTCACATTGTAAGTTTAAAACTTAACAAAAATTTTATTATTCTTATTACATACAACATTTGAAATACGACATTTGTAATACTTTTAAATATGTTTAAATCATTCTATTTTTTCTGTAAAGTTGATTTTGTTAAATTAATGATTCGTGTCGTTGTCTCATTAACTTTTTGCCATGATAATGTTGTTCTTGTTTGATTATTTATAGATTTCATTGTTGTCTTTTTCATACACATACTTTCACAGGCTTCTTTAGTTTTAAATCTATTTTCATTTCCACCACATCCTTTATAAGTGAATGGTAGACATTTATTTTCAAGTGAATTATAATAGAAACGTGGTATATTTTGTAGACAATAACCTTTTTTCAATGGTAAAGCACATATTTCATCTGGAGTTTCTGAAATAAATATTAAAAAAGAAAGAAAGAAGAGAATTCTTTAGAATATTTAATAGTTTGTGGAAAATTATTAGTTTTAATTAGTCATTATATGAATGATACGAAATGTTACAAACCTATCGGTTTCAGACGAGCATGGAAACTAATATAATCACATAATATGACATTAATCTAGTTTGTAACAGGTTGCCAGATTACTTCATCAAGTTCCTGATTAAACCTATCTGTGTATCAGAATTATTATGGTGTTGTGGATGATAGAAATAAATACGTTGCAAAAGTAATAAACTTTAGGAAGCCGACAAACGAGTCTTGTTCATCTAGTTGATGGAAAATCGCTTTATATCTATAAGTCACTATGAATTATGTATAACATTTATCAGACATATTTTTCTCTTGAATGCTTCATAAATAAGAAATCTATGATGATTGTGGAAAAGTCTATTCAAAAATAATGAGTTGCACGATGACATGAATTATCGTCATATGATTTCGAATATTACTCATAGCTTTCGTTAGACGGTTTTATTTCACTACTTTATGTACAAGCTTCTGGTTCACTAACCAGTTACATAACCGTTTTAATTGGAGCTAAGTGGCCAAGATATTAACTAGCTATAAAAGATAGCAGTCGGTGAAACTATAATTTGTGGACAACATTTGAGCGACGCAAAACTGACCTTGAGAGTGTCCACCTAATGATTAGGACGAAATGAGAGTTATAAACTTTAGTGAGGAATTCGAATTATGATTTACAGTTGATGGTTAAGGTTAGGAATTAGATTTACTGTTTTACATCATGAACTGATGTCAGTTATAATGCTAAAATTCTATTTATCCAAATTAGTGAGTGAATTTTGTGCCAAATTCATATACCTGTTATCGTATATCGTTTAAAAATTACAGTCTCGCCTAGCGGTCTATATTTTTCATTTGAATACATTCATAAAAATCTAATCATATTAAACATTATTCAATCAAGGGGTATTCTATTTAACAACATTTACAAATTATTATTAATAAAGACAATATTACAGTTAAACAAAGTCACTTACTTGGACGAGTTTTAGAATGGACAGTTCCGAAAATAATCACCAGAGGTATAAAAAGATAAATTTTTAGATTCATCTATTGTGACTATATTTCCGTCTTTAGTTTAATAACATCTCATGTAAAATAAAGTATACTTACAAAATGGTAAAATCACCTATGACTATTTATTTAGCTATTGAATGTGAACTTACTAGAAGGGGTCTTTATATGTTTTGAAATCTAATAGAACTTGTAGGTCACTCCCTATAGTTGAATAATGTGAATTAACCCAGTTACAAGAATATCGGTTCTGTCCATTGATTTATGCTCAATTCTATTTGTTCTATTCAAAATAATCTTTCATTCTCGAATACAACTTTTAGTCTATCAAAATGAACAATAAATCATTCATGTTAATTGTTTGAAACTCGGTAATAATTGTCATATTTTGTGCTTAAATTAGACTTTTGTTTGTTGTCACCATAAGTCGTGAGAAATACTTTTGGTTTCAAATTCAAAGCTTATGATGAATTCCCGTGTGAAAGTGCACGAATAGTACACTCTATTCCAAAAATGGTGCCAAAACAGTTGTCTAAGCAACTGAAACATCCTCTAACGAAATGAGGTAACAGGCTGCGTTTGGATGTCAAATTAATCAGTGTCATATTTGACATATCTTTTAGTGTTCGAGATACAATGCTAAATTTTTTGTTATTAATTAGTTTCTTAGTGTTTCTGTATTGCATTGAAATGCAATCCATTCAGCGAAGGTTACAGTGTAAGAGTTCCTACTTGTAGTAGTCGTTAGGGATTACCTATGTAACATACACAGCTATAAGCAAATCAGATATTGATAATATCCTGATTTTCTGCCTGTTTGTAATTCGAAGGCTTGTCTTTCATTCATTATCATTCACAGAACATGAAGTTGCTAACTTAGAATAACAACATTAGTTTTCTAAACAGTTTGATATTATGGTCGAAATTTCGATCCAACTATTGCAAACTGAACATGTGAAGTGACTGAATGCAAACTAAAATTCGTCACATTTGATCAGGTAGTTATATATTTACAACCAGTTAACTAACTGCCTCGTGATAAATGACAAGAATATTTGTTCCCACATTTTAGAATTAACTCCCATCATCACCTCTTTATTTTGATATTTAGATTTCTGAATAATCTGTTTTCATTGTGACAACCCTTCATCCTGTACAACATCAAATTAAATATTTCGCCTTTCATGGTTTTCAGACTTCTGATAATAAATAGTGACTAAGTGAACTATTCAATGAATGTGATTGAGAGGTCAATGACGATAAGTATTGAAGACTAAATTTCGTTTGATTCCTACTATGGGATTCAATGTTTTAAAACAACCACTCGGGAAAACGCCTTACTAAACAAAACCTTAATCAATAAACAACAATTCACTTTAAAATTATAACGTGTGGTATTGTGACTGAATGATCGAAAACAGATCTGAGAGCAATCGAATATACCTACCCAAGAAGATTATGAATGTCTTGTAAAAGTTTAGTGTTTGTATCTGAAGGTGTCAAATTATGTAAGATCATACATAGTTATTTTGTAAAATTACAGTATATAATGAGAGAACTGCAAGACGTGACCAGCAATAAAATTTGCTACAGTTTTTTATTACTGAGCCATATTTCAATCATGGCGAATAAATAGTAATAAGTATGGGCGAAAAGTAAGTAAATGAAACACATTTTTCGCGTGTAGTGCCTTAGACTACTTTATTGATTGACAAAGAACTAGCTAGTTGATAATGTCTTGTTGATTTAGATTTTGTATTAGGTAGGGTAACTTAAACATGTCTAAATCGTTAAACCGAACTAATACATCGATTTGAGACCGATTGTAAGAGAAGATAAAACTGGGGAAACATTATTCAAGAATATTTCTTTCTCCCATTTAGAAAAACACGTTGATGACAGAAATTCGAGTGTAGCATATCATTTTTAGGTTTTTATGTCATGCAAGGAACCAATGAAATACAAGACTGAATAAAATGAGATTCAGAACAGAGATTTGCAGGATTTATGCTTTATTCATTCAACAATATAATCACATAGTTAGATCTCCTCTGGGTTGCTCTAACACAAAAAAAAAACATTTAACGTTCTAATTATTATACGTTGGTGTGCTTATTCAATGACATAACCATAGCATTAAACGCCTGCATTTATTTGTTGGAGAAATCACATCTCTTATTTATCTGCTACTTCAATCGCAGTATAGATTTCGTTGATAAGCAATTGAAGATAATTACTGTACACCTATACTTGAAAAACGATATGAATTCAACGTAATTAATAGGAGTTCAGTATTTATTGGATGCATTTTGCGACAGTAGTAATCATATGCTTCATTTAAATAAAACAGATAAATAGGTAAATTGATTGTCGGAAATTGACTTTATGCAAAATTATTAAATTCTGCGAAAAGTGAATACTCTTTAACAACAAAATGATATAATAAGGTAATAAGGCCTTCAAATGTCCTGGTATGGCCGAGAATGGGGTGGGCCCGCCCTCCCTCTCGGAATGCTCTCACATGGCCACGCGTATACAGCCTCTGCCAGGGAAGTCCTACTCATTGCCTTCTCGTGGCGGGGGTGTTGTTTACAAAATTGAGAGAACGAAAAGCGAATGTCCGGCGCTTTAACCGAATTCCAAACCAATGGTGCACATGGGCTCCAGTATCCTGATGAAACAAATGGCGTGTGAACCAGTTGTTGGTCACCGGCTACCATGGGCCTGCATCTCCTCATGGTGCTCCACTGCCTTGTGAGTTAGACGCTTAGGTCAAAGGCTCGTGGTGTGGCTCCCTAAGAAATCCACTCGCTTCGGTCTGGGCACCCGGGCAGTATCAAAGCCCTCACATATATCGAATGAGATTTGTGTGGCGCATATGTATTTGGTGCCTCCTTGTATCAATGTTTGTGTTTAAATAAATAAATAAATAAATAAAGATGGCTATTGCGTAAAGTATTGGAATCACATGCAAACCTGTAAAAGTCTGTTGAATTTCAAAGCAACGAATGCATTCGAAATAATCAGCAAAGAATATCTTCATATATTATTAACATTTTCGGCGGTACGAAAATCAGTAAAATTCAACTTAAATTCTATACCCAATTAGTGTCAATGTTTAAGTTTTATTTGACATGGTAACCAAATATACTTTGCCTCATTTCTTACGTTCTCTTCTCAGTCAATTATAATAATAAAGAAGTTAGTCTAACTCACACATTTTACTGCAAACCCCTTCGTTTTCCTTTATGTTGCTTAGTGAGAATAGTCTTGAAAATTAACGAGCTATTATCTGTAGCATAAATAAGGCCTGATAGAAATATCTAGTTTACAACTGTAATCACGTTTTAAATCTACACACCTTAGTAATTATTGTTCGATAAGCTATCTTTGCGTACTTCGAATCATGCTGATTATTAGCTTGTATGTAGGTGATGAGTGAGCAAAGAAACACAGTGAACTCGTTAGATTCCGAATTTATGTCATGTTTTCTTTAGTAAAATTTACGAAGAGAACAGTTTGTTTCTAAGTCACATTACTATCTGCATTTTAAATGTGGACGATGAGTAAATCACCACTGAAAGATGTAGATTGTTCTGAAGATCTATTTTTGGTAATTTTGTTGACAAAATATTCTTTTTCGACGATACTGTCTAATCTTTAAGTACCAATGTTAAACTCTTAACACAATATATGTTTTCGAATTCTGTTCATAAAGCTCTTTGTACATTTGAGATCTGATTCGATGATCGACACACGTGTAAATTAGTGAATTGTCCTTTGACTTGTTCATGTTATGATACGATAATTTAGACGTCACTAAGTTTGATACTGGATAGTTTCCTCGAAAGTAGAAAACTGAACTCAACCGTGCCTAATTCATCTCTTCAGTTCAGAACTAGGAAAAT